AGTAAAGGAGATGGGGAGTTCGGGTTGAAAGCTCTGCCTCCCAGAAGGCAGGCTTAGCCATTGCTTACACACGCTATTTGGTGAACTACACATTGATTTCAGTTAGCTACACTAATGGGCTGGGGTTCCTGTCAGCTCATCCCGTTTATAGCTGGTCTGCAAACACTGTGCCACATTTACCATTTAGCAAGAATAGTATTTAGTAAGAATGGCCCAGGCCTTGAGACCCTTATCCTTGCTAACAATATGGGTGGGTCCTAGTGTAATATGTGTAGTGTCCTCATAAGAGATAGGACACAGACATGCACCGAGGGGACACCATGTGAAGACAAAAGGGAGAAGACAGCCACTGACAAGCCGAGAACAGAGGCCTCAGAATGAAATCAATCTTGCTGACATCTGCATCTCAGACTTCCAGAACTGTGAGAACACAAATTTCTTTTTATTTTTACCCAAATTTCTTTTTATCTAACCACGCAGCCTGTGGTATTCTGTTATAGCGGATCCACCAAACTAATGTGCTCCTGAACTCCACGGACCATGTTAGCATCGGACCACGGGGCCCCTGACTGGATGTCACCTGTGGGATATTCTTCCTCTGAGTGCAGGCCCAGAATCTGATTAGGAGGACACACCAGGCAAATCCAGAAAGTGAGACTGTCCACAGGACAGCCGGCCGGGGCTCCTCTGAAGGCCAATGATGGGGAAGACAAAACGGAAGAGACAAGGGGGCTGTTTCAGATTAGGTGACACCAAAGAGATGTGCCAACCAACTGCAGCATGTAAAACCCAGATTTTACTGTATTCTTCTCTTCTTAAAGATTTTATTTATTTTTGGAGAGAGGGGAAAGGAGGGAGAGAAACATCATTATGTGAGAGAAACATCAATCAACTGGCAACCTTTTGGTGTACAGGATGATGCTCCCACCAACTGAGTCACCTGGCCAGGGCCCAGATTCAATTTTAGATTAAAAAAAAAAAAAAGATGCAAGAGCTATTTTTGGAGAGACAGGTGGAGAAATAAGACTTTGGACTATATGTCAGATAATGTGACCAAAACAATGTTAAAAATACATACATACAGCCCCGGCTGGTGCAGCTCAGTGGGTTGTGCACCGGCCTGCAAGCCAGTCACTGGTCTGATTCCTAGTTAGGGCACATCTCTGGGTTGTGGGCCAGGTCCCCGGTATGGGGTGAGCAAGAGGCCAAACCACACATTGATATTTCTCTCCCTCTCTCCCTCCTTTCCCTTCTCTAAAAATAAATAAACTTTTTTTTAACATTTTATTTATTTATTTTTAGAGAGGGAAGGGAGGGAGATAGAGAGAGAGAGAAACATCAATGTGTGGTTGCTAGAGGTCATGGCCTACAACCCAGGCATGTACCCTGACTGAGAATCGAACCTGTGACACTTTGGTTCACAGCCCATGCTCAATCCACTGAGCTACGCCAGCCAGGGTAAATAAACAAACTCTTAAAAAATACATATATACAACCCAAAACTATAGAACTCGTAGAAGAAAACATGGGGAAAAGCCTTCATGACACTGAATTTGGCAATGATTCCTTGTATATGACACCAAAAGATTAGGCAACAAAAGTAAAAATAGATATTTTTGATTGAGTCAAAATCTTTTGTGCATCAAAGGAAACAATTGACAAAGTGAAAAGGTAATCTTACAGATTAGAAAAAAATATCTGTAAACTATATATCTGGTAAGAGATTAATATCCAGAATATAAAGAACTCCTACAACTTAACAACAACAAAAGAAAAAAAAACAATTTAAAAGTAGGCAAAGGACTTAAATACACATTTTTCCAAAGAAGATATGCAGAAGGCCAACAAGAATACGAAAAGATGTTCAGCATCACTAATCATTAGGGAAAGGCAAACCAAAACTACAGTGAGGTATCACCTCGCCACCATAAAGATCCCTACTATCAAAATGACAACAACAACAACAAACAAACAAACAGAAAGTAGGTGTGGGCAAGGATAACGATGTGGAAAAACTGGAACCCTTGTGCACTGCTGGTGGGAATGTAAAATGGTGCAGCTGCTATGGAAAACAGTTTAGCATTTCCTCAAAAAAAATCAAGAAACAAAAAGAAACATAAAAAACAAACAAAACCAAAAAAATAAATAAAAACAACAAAAAAAGAAACATAGAATTACTATGTGATACAGTCATTTCACTCCTCAGTATATCTCCAAAAGAAATGAAAGGTCTTAAAGAGATAGTTGCACACCCAAGTTTACTGCAGTATTACCCACAATAGCTAAGAGGTGGAAGCAACCCAAGTGTCCATTGACGGATGGGTGGATAAACAAAATGTGGTGCATGCATAGAGTGGAAATTTTTTAGTCTTTAAAAAGGTGGAAATCACCCTGGCTGGTGTGGCTCGGTGGATTGAGTACGGGCCTGAGAACTAAAGGGTTGCTGATTTGATTCCCAGTCAGGGCACATGCCTGGGTTGTGGGCCAGGTCTCTGGTTGGGGGCACGTGAGGGCAACCACACATTGATGTTTCTCTCCTTCTCTTTCTCCCTCCCTTCCCCTGTCTCTAAAAATAAATAAATAAAATCTTTAAAAAAAGATGGAAATCCTGTCATGTGCTAGTACATGAATGGACCTTGAGAACATTAAGCTGAGTGCAATACACCAGTTCACCAAGAAACAAATATGGCACGATTCCATTTACATGAGGTACCTATAGTAGTCAAAACCAGGGAACCAGAAAGTAGAAGGGTGGTTGCCAGGGGCCGCGGGAGGGGCTAATGGGAGTTGTGTTCCATAGTTACTGTTTTAGTTTTACAAGACAAAAAAGTTCCAGAGGATTGTTACGCAATCGTGTGAATACAGTTAACACTACTGAACCGTACACTTAAAAGTACTTAAGAGAGTAAATTTTACATTTTTATCACAATTTTAAAAATTAATAATACACTCACACAAACACATAATAAATAAATGCAACACAATTCTTGGTGTCCTGCTTGCCCTGGAGGTCTGCTCTTCCTTGAAGGTGGAGATGCCCCCTCAGTTCTCTCAGCGCCTGGCTGTTCCCTTAGTTCCGTCTGAACAGAAGATCACAGGCCACCGCCTTCCTTAAGCTTTTGGACTTTGAAAAACAATTGCAAAAACTCTTTCCTGGAACAATTTTTAATTGACATCTAAAATCACATGATTTTGATCATTATAAAATGTAAAATTTTAATGACAATGCATTTCTTTGTCAGATGGATTGAGAGGGATCTTTCTGAGGCAGGGCAGTAAGAAGCTAGGACAATTCCTGGGCAAGCAGAAATGGAGACACCGAGACAAGAAAATGAAACAAGGCCAAACAGTTTGAACAACTCATAGCCAGCTGGTGAACTGCAAGACCTTATCTTCCCTAACTAAGAACACTAGAGAACAGCCCTGGCTGGCATAGCTCAGTGGATTGAGTGTCAGTCTGTGAACCAAAGGCTTGCTGGTTCAATTCCCATTCGGGGCACATGCCTGGGTTGCAGGCCGGGCCCCCAGTGGGGGCTGTGCAAGAGGCACCTACACATTGATGTTTCTCTTCCTTTCTTTCTCCCTACCTTCCCCTCTGTCTAAAAATAAATAAAATCTTAAAAAAAAAAAAAAGAACACTAGAGAACAAATGGTTTCTACCTCTCCTTGCGGACTAGAGAATACATAGTTTAAACCACCCTGGTCAGGGAGATAGATGACAGAGACCCAGTTAATGCCAGTTGTGCCAACTAAACCTAAGGACAGATGAAATCAGGGGAACAAATAAATAAAAACCCCACTAAGGCCAGAGAGACCCCAGATAAAAGTGAAACAATAAAATAGACCAAAAAATAACTGCAAACTCCCCTATATGCTTATTTTGATGCATCAGCATATTAAAAATATAACTAGAGCCCTGGTTTGTGTGGGTCAGTAGATTGAGTGCCAGCCTATGAACCAAAGGGTCGCTGGTTCAATTCCTGGTCAGGGCACATGCCTGGTTGGCACATGCCCAGTAGGGGGCTCATGAGAGGTACTGATGTTTCCCTCTCTTTCTCCCTCCCTTTTCCCTCTCTCTAAAAATAAATAAATAAAATCTTTTTAAAAATGCAACTGGAAAGCTGGTGAATATTCTGTTGAAACCCTCCCCCCTAAGATTCTCACCTGCAGAGGAGAAATAAAAACCCTTACAACAAAGACTTGGGTGGGCTGGCTCTAGAGCAGTGGTCCCAAACCTTTTTGGTACTAGGGACTGGTGTCATGGAAGATGACTTTTCCATGGACTGGGGCTGGGGGTTGGGGATGGTTTCGGGATGATTCAAGTGCACTGCATTTAAGTTCACCTCCTGCTCTGTGGCTCGGTTCCTAACAGGCCCAGACCAGTACTGGTGTGCAGGCCTGAGGTTGGGGACCCCTGTCATAGAACATGCCCTGCCCTTTCCTGGGCATGAACCTTTTACTTCCTCCTAAATCTAAAGGTTTCCGTAAGACTTACAACCGAGGGAGCAGTGGGCAGCAGCAGCAGCAGCTCATTCCGAGCTTATCCGCTGATCCTGTCTCCAAAACCCCTTTTTCTCTGACTTCCCAGTGAGCTAACAGCAGCCCTGCCTTGGCTCACTCCTTTCCTATAACATCTTTAGGGAGCCAAAGCAGAGCACCGCCTAGCTTCTCTCCTGTTGCTTCTACGCTAACCCCATCCTTGTTTCACTGGTCCCAGCTTTAATAAACATACTCTCAAAATCACCTGGACTCGTGTTCGGAGCTCTTTCCTGCAAGAAGTCAAGAACCCACACACACTGACTGGCCTGAGGCAGACCTACTCCAGGCCCAGTCCTTGTCTGGTGACATTCCTGTTTTTCTATTTAATTGCTGTCTATGTAGATGAATGTCCCTTGTTACAGTGAGACTCAGTTGGATATTAATTCTACTCTTTTTTTATGTTAAGAGCTGAGAAACTGTTGCATTGCCATTGCCTGCGGTAACAAATGACTAAAAACTTGTTGCCTGAAAACGATAGAGATTTATTCTGCTACAGTTCTGAAGACGGCAAGCCTGAAAACAGTTCACCAGGCTAAATCCAGGGGTCAGTGGGGCCCCCTCCTGGCGGCTCAGAGGCTCTGAGGGAGAACTGTGCTCACCTTGTCCAGTTCCTGGTGGCTGACAGCATTCCTGGTGGCTTCAGGCTACATCACCTCAAGGCCATTGTCTTAGATTCTATGCTCTGGCTTCACGTTGCTTTTTCCTACTTGTGTCAAATCTGTCTGCCTCCTTTTTATGAGGATACACATGACTGCACAAGAGCCCCCCTGGATAATCCAGGACAATCTTCCCATTTTAAGATCCTTAATTTAACAACATGTACAGAGGCCCTTTTCCAAATAAGGTAACAATCATGGATTCTAGAGATTAGGACACGGATAGCTTTTGGGAAGCCTGTTTCAGTTTACTGCAGAAACTGTTTGTTGGATCATTCAGCAAGTATTTATTGAATACCTACTGTGTGCTAGGCATTTGTTAGGCACTGAGGATTCAGCTGTGAACCAAACAGAGATGCCTAGCCTCCTGGAGCTGACATTCTAAGGCTGCACTGTCCAAAATAGTAGCCATGAGCCCTAATACGGTCACTGAGCATTTGAAATGTGGCTGGTCTGAACTGAGGTGTGCTGAAGTATGATCTGCACAGTGGATCTTGGAGATTTGAGCACATACACACGAAAAATGGTAAATATCTCAATAATTTAAAAGTATTGATTACATGTTAAGTAATAATATTTGGGATACATTGGGCTAAATCAAATGTTATTAAAGTTAACTTCACTTGTTCCTTTTTCATTTCTTTTTAAATGTAGCTACTAGAATATTTAGAATTAACATGTGTAGCTTGCATTGTATTCCTATTGGATGGAGCTATTCTAAGGGGGGGAGACTATGGACAATTAACATAATAAATAAGCATATTATATGGTATATTAGGAGGTGATAACTTCTATGAAAAAAAAAGGTTAGGGTAAGGGAGTGTATTAGTTTTCTGGTGCTGCTGTAACAAATTACCACAAACTTCATGGCTTAAACCGCAGCCCCCCCCCCACCCCAATTTATTATCTTGCAGTTCTGATAGTCAGAAGTCCAAAATATACCTTAGGGATCTAAAATTAAAGGCTGAGTTTCTGCTGGAGATTCCAGGGGAAAACGCATTCTTTGTCTTTTTCAGCTCCTGGAGGGCGCCGGCATTCTTTGGCTCCCAGCCCTCATTCCAGCCCCTGCTCACTTCATTGTAGCTCTTCCTCTGACTCTGACCCTCCTGCCTCCCTCTTACCAGGCCCCTGTGATTACACTGGGTCCACCGGAATCCAGGATAACCTCCCCATTTTAAGATCCTTAATTTAATTGCATCTGTGAAGTCTCCTTTACCACATGAAGTAACATAGGCACAGAATCTGGGGATTAGGAAGTGGACTTGGGGGGTGGGATGCATTATTCTGCCTTCCACAGGGAAGGTCAAAGGAGAGGAATTACAGTCTTACACAGTTGTGTCTGAGAGAGCCTCACTGAGACTATGAAATCTGTCTAAAAATCTGAAAGAAGGGAGGGAGGGAGCAGTGTGGATGTTAGGGAAGGGCATTCCAAGAAGCAGGAACAGCCAATGCAAAGGCCCAGAGGTGGGCTATTCCCTTTTCCTGGGACCTCCTCCTCCTTGCTGCACCTAAATAACAGGTGCCTCTGCATCTTGCTTGAAGAACAGAGAGGTTTGAGACCCCTATTCATCATTGGTCCCTTGGCGCAGTCTCTATTCCCCAGGGTTCCTCCAAAGGCAGGTTAGCCTGAGGGGGCAGGCAGGAGCCTCGTGTCAGAAAGGCAACAGGGCCAGCCCGCCCCTCTACCCACAGTCCAACTGGCTGGTCACCTGGGATCTGGTGAGGCCCTGTCTGTGCAGCGTCCGCCTGCGGTGCCACTGGCGCAAGGAGGCACGGGCCTCAGAGCTGAGCCCCTTTGGCGCACGTCCCGCGTCGGGCTGGTAGTTGGCAATGTGGTGCAGTGCCCCAAACCACGTGGTCAGGTAGTACCCAGCTAGGGGCAAGAAGAAGAGGTTGACGCAGCTCTCCTGGCTTCCCTTGGGGCATGAAGGCCCCTTCAGTTTGCCTGCCTTTCCACCTGCTGCAGGGTCAGGCTGTTTGGGGTCCCACCCTGTCTGATCCTGACGTTCTGGGGATGGGGGCCTCACCTTCTCCCAGTAGCTCTTCCGGATCCAAGAGCTCCATAAGAAACTCCACGTCCAGCTGTGTCTCCCCAATGTTCGGACTCCAGATAAGCTCCTCGGTCAACGCTGGGAGGAAGGCGTCAGCGCCCAGGGGCTCTGTGGAAGCCGAGGGCAGGCTCTGAGATAGATGGGGGCGTGCAGGCCCCTTCCATCCGATCTCCAGTACCATGAGCTCTGGCTGCCTCTCACCTTGCTGGGCATTCAAATGCCTCTTACCTGACTCCCAGGCCTGCGAAGACGCCTCCCATAGAGCATGTCACCCTACCCCATCGATGTCCACACAGGAGCCTCCTACCTGGCTCCCGCAACCCTCAAGGCCGCTCCACATCCAGGTAGATGCAGACTCCTCCTTTACCTTTGTTCTTGCCTGAAGCCAGCCCCGCGTAGACATCACTGCACACCGCCAGCAGCAACGCCACCTTGCGGCGTGGGGCGCAAGCGGCGTGGAGGTGCGCAAGGCGCGAGTGGATGCGGCTGCGCAGGGCGGGGCCCTGTCCCTCAGGCCCCGCCCCCTGAGCTCCGGGAGGCCCAGCCCCTGCCCTCAGAGCTGTCTGTCGCCGCCGCAGTCGCCGCAGCTCTGGGGCTCGGAGCGTGCGGAGTCGTGCCCACAGGGCCGGCTTCAGAGGCGCCAGTACCACGCGGCACAAGGCCGCCTCCACTGCGGGGCCTGCGAGATGTGGAGTGGGGGAGGGAAGAGTCGCCGGGCTGCCCCACACCCACCTGCTTGCTCCACCAATCCACCCTGGCTCACTGCCACCCCTCCCTAGCTTCTGGCCGCCATAAGTGTAGACATGGGTATGAACATGTGTGGAAGAGGGGCCCTGGGTGTGAACACGCGTGTGAGAGAGGGAATCAGGGCTGTCACACCTGTGTGAGACGGAGCGGTGAACAGAATAGGGGTTACTGTGTGTGGGAAAGGGCGTGTGAGTAGAAAAGGTGTGCACAGGGATAGAGAGGAAGAACGTGTGTGTGAACACGTATGTTGGGCCAAGTGATGGCAAATGTGAACAGCGTGGGTTCAGGGAGTGGCCATAAGTCTCCTCCCAGTCCTCTTCATTACCAAGATCCTCGTCCTTCTGGGGGACCCCAGGCCCCCTTCTCTGCAAGACAGCCCTGATACTGGGGTCCTTTGCTAAGTGATCCTGGAGGTCAGTAAGGAGGTGCCGCACATCCTGAAGCAGCTCGGTGGCGGGGTCCCCGGGCCTGTGGGGGCCCCCAGCGTCTGAGGTGAGGCGTGCCTTGAGGCCTTGGAACTGTCTGGCCACGTAGCTGCTTCTGGACCTGGCCAGAGCCTGGACATGACTAGTAAGCACATCCTCAGGTTCTTCCTCTTCATCTTTGCAGTCGTCAGTCTCCTCCTCCTCCTCCTCCTCCTCCTCCTCCTCCTCCCCCAGGCTGGCCAGAGCTGGCCCAGAATGGTGTACTTCTGAGCTGAGTGGGCCTTCTACCCAAGAGACCCGATGAGGGGCAGGGTTCCTAGGGGCTGGATGTGAGGAGAGGGTTGGCTCCACAGAACAGCCGCAAAGAGCTCCCTCATCCCAGGGCCCCAGGGCCCCAGAGCCCCACCCAGCTAACCTGGATCATTTTTCTTGGCAGACTCTGGAGGTGTCTCTGGGGAAGTGTGCTCCATCCCCGGGCCTCTGTGTGTCTCCAGGTAGATCTTGCTCACCATGGACAGCACCCTCCCTGAGGTACCAAGTTGGACACTGCCAATCTGCAGAGGATCTGGTCCCCCAAGTGCCATCCTTCTGGGCCAAGTAAGCGGAAAGCTGGCCTCCCCCTCCCTTATACAACCATGCCTCACCTGCGTGTTGTTCCCCAGGCCCTAGAGCAGGAGGGGGCAAGAGCAGAGTTCTGGGCAAAACATCCCTGAGAAAAGATAAGGGGGAGCCATAATGTGGGTAAGGTGGCTTAGGAAAGGATCCCCCTTAACCCTTGTGATGGGTGAACTGTACCTGCTGGCTGATAGGAAGGCCAGGAGATGGGGCAGGTCTGGCATGCAGAGGTTAGAGGATTCCAGACACACACCTGTGGGAGGGAGCAAGGAGGGACAAGTCAGAAAATACGAGGGTGGCAGCTTCGTCTTCCCTGGGACTCTCTCTTCCAGGCCCTGAGTCCCTCCAAGCACCTTCACACAGGGAAATTTCTACTTCTTGGAGTCTGCACCTGCACCTTTTCCTGCGTCTTTACGCTTGCATCCCACCAATGCCACCAAGTATCTATTCATTAGACAAGTATTTGTCGAGCACTTTTTCATTCCCAGGTACTGGGGATCCAGTTGTGAAAAGGCAGACACAATCACTGCCTTCCTGTAGCTTACCTTTTTAGTGGGGGGGAGACAGAAAATAAATGAGTAGAAAAATAAAGATAAATCTATTGTATTATGTGCTCTGAACAAAGCAGAGTGATTAAAAATGGCCAGGGCTATCTTCACTGTGGTGGTCAGGAAGGCTACAGTTCCACAGAGGGCTGAAGGATGGAGGCCAAACCATTCATTCAAGGAAGAGCATTAATTCAGATGGGGTGAATGAATGCAAAGGTGCTGAGGCTGGGATTCATCTAGTGTGCTCAAGGAAGAGAGGACAGAGTGGTGTGGCTGGGGTGGAGTAAATGAGGGGCAGCAGATGGACAGGTGGGCAGGCTGGCTACTGAAACACCTTATAAACCATGACAACGAGTTTACATTTTTATTTAAGGATATTGCATATCCTTTGCAGGGTTTAAGGCAGAAATGTGTAACATCTGATTGATTGAAAATACCACTCTGGCTGCTAGGCTCAAAATGGATCGCAGGAAGGAAAGGGTGGGCACAGGGGTACCGGAGAGGAGCCTGCTGAACTTGTCTGGGGAAGGGCTGATGTTGGCTCAGAATAGGGCTATGGAGGCGGAAAGGATTGGGAAGATCTGAGAGATGTTTTGGAAGTAAAGTCAACAGCTTTTGATGCTAAATTTGCTGTTGACTGGAAACCTGGGGGGTAGGCTCCTCACCTCCAGGAAGCTTCTGGATCTGGTAAGTGTTGACTTCCCCTGGTGAAGGTCCTGTCCTCAGCACCAGGACCTGGCTGGGGTCATGTCCTGTGACCAGGAAACTCTGGGGGTGGAGACAAAGGTCAGCACAAAGAGGATTTGTGCAGATGTGTTATTTTTGCCTGCCTAGCATCCATTTCCCTTATTTAGGGCTGCATGCTGCGAATTTCCTTTAGAGAAGGTACCCCTCCTTCTCAGTCCACTTTTGGGTAGGACTGACCTCCCGTAAGTCCTCAGAGTGGGTCCAGGACTTGACCTAGCCAGTAGGATGACAGTGCTGACCACTGTGATTGGTTCAGAGATGGGCATGTGACCCAAACAGCCAACGGAAATCTTCCATAAGACTTTTGCTAGAGCACTTTGGGAAGAGGCCTCTTTTTGCAATGGGGTTACTAACTTGGTGAGATGTGGTGCTGAGCTGGGGACAGCTATCTCTGCCACCACTGGGAGAGAGCTCCCCCAAGGAGGGAGCTACAGTAGACCCATTAGTTGTGTTATCCAAATCCACCCCGTCTTCCTTGCAGCTTTGTTCAGCAGAGCCATCAAAGATGAATAGTCAGTGCTTCCCCTCTCTGGCTGTATAACTCCTAGGTAAGCTTTAAAAAATATTGCTACTGGGCGCCATCCATATATTCTGAATCAAACGGAAGGATATTGCTTTTGCTGGTAAATGAAGTAGATGTGCTCTGGCTGGTGTGGCTCAGTGGATTGAGTGCTGGCCTGCAAAATGAAAGGTCACAGGTTTGATTCCCATCAGGGCACATGCCTGGGTTGGGGGCCATGGCCCCAGTTGGGGGCATGTGAGAGGCAGCCGATGGATGTTTCTCTTGCACATCGATGTTTCTTTCCCACTCTTTCTCCCTCCCTCCTTCCTTTCTAAAAATAAGTAAATAAATAAATTTTAAAAATCTTAAAAAAAAAACAGATGCAACTGGAGCTTCTTTTTTTCCTCTTCTTCTGCCTGGAACACACGCGTGTGCGTGGACCTGGGGCAGCCACTGGGCAACCAGGAGGGAGTCCAGGAGAACTGCGGCACCGCTGCCCTCGACACCACCCAAGCTGCCGAACCAGAGTCCGCAGCCACCTTTCTGGTCATGTTGGAAAGATAAATGCCTACTTTTTAAAACAACTGTAGAATGAGTGCTTGTTACTTACAGCCCCAAACATTCAGAATTCCCCAGTTTCAAGCAAAGCCAAGAAATAGGATGAAGAGAAATGTGTAAGTTGTCTGATTCGCAGGATCCAGGCATTCCTGAAATCACTTCTGGGTTATTCAGTCATTTGAATCAGTAAGTGGCCTTTTCGGTTTGGCCTGTTTGTGTTGTGTATGTTGCTAGCAACTGGCAGAGTCCTGACTGATCCAGGGTGTCATAGGAGGGTTCGAGAGGGTCCCCGCCTGTGAGTACTCACCCCCGGTGGCCACAGCTCCAGAAGGGCTTCTGCACCCTGGGTGTCCAGCTCTGGGATCTGCCACACCCCCCTCGTCCTCTGCAGCCGAAGAAGTGGCTCTGGGGCCCCGAGGACCCCTAAGCAGGCCTCGCCTGCTCCATTCTCCAGTCTGGGATGTGCAGGGGCCAGGAGACCAGGGGTCAGAAAGGGGCAGTTGGACACTGAGGTGGGGCCCAGAGGTCAGGAAGGGGTAGCCCAGGGGCAAAGGGTAAGAGATGGGGTTCAGTGTCCTGTGGGGGGGGCAGCACTGGGTGGAAGGGATTTCCGAACCCGGGGCAGACCCCAGCCCAGGAGCCCTTACCTTTCCCCATAGGTGGGGCCTGCCAAGGCCTGGTCCTCTGGCTGGGCCATCGTCAGGATTCGGGAGGCCAGCAAGCCATGGCCTGGCCTCTGGCAGGGGGAAGGTAAGGCTCAAGGTTGCTCCAGTTCAGGAGTAAAGTTCAAAACATTTACAACCAAGGTGACAAAGACCCCGACCAATCAGAATGGACCCAAGGCCCCTTGCTGTGCCAGGAGTGAATTCTTTCATCACTGGATGGTGGGGTGCTCTGGGGATCCCAGGAGGGAGGTCAGTGTGTCTTGGGATGAGGGGAGAGGAGAGGACTCAAAATGACAAGTATTTACCAAGCGGTAGGGCAGTATTTTAGGTTTTAACATCCAGAGCAGCCGTGTGGATGCGGGCGTGCTGAGTAACAAGCCTACCCATAACCCAGTGCCTGTAAAAGGGCTCCACCCACAGTAGGTTCCATAAATGAGACAAATGTTACCCCACATCCCCTCTCCTCCTCCCTTCCCAGACCACGAAGGGGCCCTCAAATATTTCCCCTCAACATTTTTTTAGTGCAAATTTCAAACATTCAGAAAAATGGGAAGAATTTTACAGGGAACATCCACATACTCGCTACATACATTCTACCGTTATTTTTCTGTGCTTTCTCACACAGCCATCTCTCTCTAGCCATCTGTCCGTCAGACCTCAGCTCTTAACCAGGTACAGAGTTCTAGAGTGGGTCACCGTTTGAGGCGGGCATTTTTTAATGTTTCTCCTGTAGCCCTCCCAGGAGTAGGGGGCTTAGGTCCATGTGTCCATGCATCCCACAAATATTTATTGAGTATAGGCCCAGAATTAGGTGCTCTGGATGCAGAATGGGCCCTGCTCTCAGGGGCATCCATTCTTCTTGGGGTGGACAGAAAATAGGGATAATAAACAGCTAAGCAAATCAACCAGCCCATTGACCAGACGCCCAGAGTGTTAGGAAGAGAGGACCAAAGCAGGCACTCTGTCCAGCGAGGGGCAGGTGGCGGCGGGGGTTGGGGGCGGGGAGGCAGATGCTCACCTGGGTCCCATGAGAGGGCAGGAGGAGGTGGGTGGTGCTGGGCAGGGCAGGCTGGGGAGCCGCCTAATACCAAAGGAGGCAACTGCGGGTAACAACGCCAGCTGCTCGGTCCCTGGGGGCCCTACCTGTTCTCGGAGGCCGAAGGAGCAGGAAGTGAAAGTGTTCCTCTCAGAGAGGAAGCTGGGTTCCAGGGGGGAAGAGGCGGGGCTGGGGGTATCTGACATCGACCTTCCTCCCTGTTTCTGGCGGCTCAGGCCTCAGGTGGCAGGGCTTTGGAGGAAGAGACCCTGGCAGACTCGGAGTCCAGAGCCCAGAGCCCAGAGCCCAGAGCCCTCAGGCTCCCACCGCCCTGGAGTCCCCTCGTGGGACCCCTTGCTGTTTCTCACGAGAGCATCTAGGTGCCCTGGTTTCCTCAGTGGCCCGAGATCTCCCCCACTCCCTCCGGCTGCTTCCTGGTGCGCCCACAGAAAGGAACAGCAAAGCCAGACAGCTGACTGTTAGTTTTTGTTTTTAATTTGTCTCCAATAAGCAACATCATCTGCCCATCCACACATGGAGGTGGGTCCTGTGTGCAGGTGGCCCAGCACCCACTTTGGGAGTTGGAGGCCGAGAAGGGGGAGGTCCAACCCCCACCACTGGATGAATTATATTTGGAGCCCTGCCCCCGAGGGTAGGTTAGATTTTGTCTGCTTGGCCACAGACCCCTGGGAGCAGTAGTATGGGGTCCTGGTGACCTGTCCTGGGATGGTTAGAAATTTGGAGGCCCCCTAGCCCCCTGGGAGCAGTTAGAGATTAGGGGAGGTTGATCCTCACCCCTGGGGGAGGTTAGAGGCTCCGGGCTGTTAGACAAGGCTGCCCAGGCCTCAGCCCCGAGGAGATGTTAGAGATCTGGCAGGGTTGGGGGTTGGGGGGCTGGGACCCACTTTTGGGAGAGAGTGGTTATGAGATTGAGGGAATGCTCTGAGCTCCCCAGATAAGAGCTTCAAGTTAGGGAGGGCCACGGCTGGTTGGGGCTCAGCTGTCCCACAGGAGCTGAGTGTCCTGCCTAGGAGACAGCCGTCACTGGGGTTTCTCCCCCTCCGTGGTCCTGGCCTCTTCCTTGGTAGGAGGTGGGGACTTGCTGGGAGAAGCTGAAGTGGTGGGGTTGGCGCGCCCCGACCCTGATTGAGCATCTATGCTGGCGTGCTCCTTCCGGACAAGGTCCTCCAGCTCCTTCTGTAGGGGACAGTATTTCTGGCGGTCAGAGGTCGCCATGACGCATGAAGTCAGAGGACCCATGAGGCAGGGGCCCAGGGGCTGGGTTTGGGGTGGGCTGGGGTGGCCGGGGCTCCTCACCTTCCATCCGAGGAGGTCGGCGAGAGCCAGGCAGCCCTGGTCACAGTCACCCAGCCAGGCCACATCCCTGCGGGGGAGTGAGCATCAGATCTCCCAGGCTTGCCCCAGGACCCTGCCAGCTCTGCCCTGTCTGTGTGACTTCATGCCCGTCCTCCCACCTTGGACCTGTCCCTTGTAGGTCCCGCCCCTCACAGCAGACCCAGGCCTCACCTGTAGGCCTTCTTGGAGTCGAAGTCCATGCCTCCTCCGAGGCCCATCATCATTCCCAGGAAGGGGTCAGTCTGCAGCGAAGGGGAGTGTGGGGGGAGCCAAGAACAGACCCTTGAGCCAGGTGGCCTGGGTTTGTATCCCAGCTCTGTGACTTTGCTCAAGTGACCTGGCATCTCTGAATTTCAGTTTCCTTACGAGTGGAGGGGGATGATCATCGAACCACTCCTAGGGTTGTACTGTCAGTAAGTTAATGCAGGAAAAACGCTTACAGGAGTGTCTGGTGTGAGGTATGTTTTTGCCTGTTTGAGGAAACATCGTTCCCCAGGAAGGAGCCCAAAACTGGCAACTCTGATGTCACTGCCCAAGGCGCTGGCTCCAGCTCACCCGGACCTTTCAGTCCCAGGAAGTGCAACATCCCCGTTTTGGCTTCAGTGGCTTTGGGTTGGGGTTTTGTCACTTGCTCAGAAGGCTCCCCGACGCCCCAGAGAACTATGGACTTTTAGTCGGGGCAGCCTGGAACTCGATCCCTCCAGATCCTGGAATCCCTCGTCCTGAGCCCCAGGGGTCTGAACTACTGGGTTCCCTACAGACTCCCAGATGCAGGAAGGGAAGAATTTGGGGTGGGCGGTGGTGCACGAATAAAAGCTGACTCACCTGGCCAGTTTTTTCCTTGTTGATGAGCAGGCGCGGGGTAGAGAGGGGTGCCCTGGGGGGATGGCAAACTGAGTGCTGAGGACCTACTCTGGTTCCCGAGCCCCCCCCCCAACCTCGTAGTACCCCAGCATCCCCCCAGCCCTGACCCCCAACCTACTTGCCGATGAGGGATGCAAAGGGCTGCACCTGCAGGCTGGTGCCCATGATGATGAGCAGGTCCACCTTCCGGAAGTCCTGTGGAGGGGCAGTGCCGTGAGGGCTCCGGGACTGGGTGGTCTGGGCAGCCGTCCTCACCCCCACCTCACCGTCCCCATCCCCACCTCACCGCAAGCTCCAGTGACCCTGGGCAGGGCCCAGGCTGCTCCCACACGGGCTGAGCACAGCGTGGTAGTGGAGATACTTACTGACTGAATGCAGGAGAAGAAACGAGCTGGGAGGTTCTCACCGAAGAACACGATGTCTGAGGTGGAGACAGATGGACACACCACACAGGACAGAAAGAGACAGTGAGTGGGGGAGGCAGAGAAAGGGAAGGAGGTGAGAACAGGCAGGAGCAGGAGGCAGACCTTGGAGCTGCGTGGGAGTGCAGAGCAGCAGGGACAGGCCAGAGAACAGAAGCCTCTCCCCGGAGAGAGGGGGACCAGGAGAGAGGGGGACCAGGAGCTGGGCGGATGGTGAGTGTGGTCTTCTTGGGAAGGATTAGTGCGGGGGAGGGCGGGCTCCCAGTCCACATCTCCCTGGGTTGCCCCAGGCCCCAAGGCTCACCGGGCTTCACCACACTCTGACACTTCTCACACTTGGGAGTCGCCTCCGAGAAGATCTTCTCTGGGCGTGGAGAAGAAGGAGAGAAGGCGGTGAGAGGCTCTCAGTGAGAGAGCCTGCCAGCCACCTCCCTCCTGCGCCTTCCTTCACTCTCCACACAACCACACCTTAGTCACCGGGGAGCCTCCTGGGGTATCTGACCTGCTCAGAAAGGACCTCTCCTCAGGAAACTGTCCCTTCCCCCACCCCCATGCCTCAGGAGTGCAGGGGTGGCCCCCAGCACCAGGCTTAGCTACTGAATGGAAGAATAAACAAATAAGCAGACACTTGCTCCTAATAGGGGCCACTGGATGCCCTACCCCCAACCTGGGGAATGGGAGCGAAGCTTGCCTGCGGGTCTCTGAGGGCAGCTCTGCTTCCTCCAGGGTCAGAGAGGCCTGGTGGGTGCAGGCCGGTGGCAAAACAAGAGGAAAGAGTATGCAGATGGTCCTGTGTGTGCAGCTGCTTTCCCACCCTTGGGTTCCGTGACTGGCCCCCCACCGCACACACACCGTCCTCGTGACAATCATGCTCTTTATTGCTTATTGATTAAAGAACTTGAAAAGTATTGTCACTTGCAACCCACAGAATCCTAGCTTGCTCATTCAACTATTTATTCATTTCTTCAACGAATATTTAGAGCACTGTTTTAATATCTGTCATTTGCTTTAAAACATTTCTGCACCGACATTATGCCCTTTTGCGGGTGCTGCCCGTGAACATAATGGGGCGATGTTAACTGTACAGGACCCCAGCTGTCCGTGGCTCCCCGTTCAGGCCTCCTCACCCCAGGGCCAGCCAGCTGGTGTTTTTGTCCAGAAGGCCACGCTCCAGAGGCCCTGCTATGAGGGCTGTCCTTATTTCCCACGGACACCAGAGGCTTTGTGAAGTCAGCATAAAGAATGCCAGAAATGGGTTTCCAGGGTGAAATAAGTGACTTCTTAATCAGCACAATGGATGCCAGAAATAGTCTCTTGCTGGCATTCAAGAAATGTGGATTGGCTGGTTTTCCCCCCTTTGAACACTCTGCCCTGACATGAACAGACACTGGGACTTCAGCAAGCCCTGCCGTCTGGCCCGTGGGGCGGCCCGGCCTTCGGCCCTCCCCAGGCCTGCGTCTGGCTTCACGCTCCACCGATTCTGTTCCCCCGAAACCCCTCGGCTGAATCCTGCGCTGCTCGTGCACATGCTGTCCAATACAGTCATCACAGTAGATAATGGCTTTTTACATTTAAGTTAATAAAACCTAAAATTCAGTTCCTTGGTCCCACTAGCCATGTTTCAAGAGCTCAGCTGTCACAAGTAGCAAGTGGCTGCCGTATTGGACAATGTCAATATGGAAGGTTTCCCTTATCTCAGAAAGTTCTACTGGACAGTTCTGTTCTTTTTAGAACTTTAGTCCCGCCCTGGCTGGTATGGCTCAAAGGACTGGGTGTCGGCCTGTGAACTGAAGCGACGCCAGTTCAATTCCCAGTCAGGGCACCTGCCTGGCTTGTGGGCCAGGTCCCCAGTAGGGGGTATGTGAGAGGCAACTGATCTATGTATCTCTCACACAGCAATGTTTCTCTTCCTCTCCTTCTTCCTCCCTTCCCCTCTCTCTAAAAATAAATAAATAAAAATTTTAAAAATTAAAAAAAGTACTTAGTTCCATTTTTCTTGATGAGCATCTCATGTACAATAGGGTCAGAGCCCCTCAAAGGACAGATGGCAAGGGTTTCATGACCTCATCGAACAGGCTGTGTGACCACTTGGTACCCCCTCTGCTAACTCATGTCTCTGTGTGTGACTGAACTGGATCTGGAGCGCGCATCCGTCCTACGGTGGCTGTGAGGTGGTGTTGGGAGCGATGGATCTCACTGTCACCTCAAATCTTTGGAGGCTGCCATTACCGAGACACACAGCTGTGCAGGACAGAACAAGTGCCCACTGGATAGAGGCCCTGTCCCTGGCGCTGAGAGGTGGACAGTGGGCGGGAGGCCCGCCCTCGTGGATGACCTCCAGCCCCTCACCTTTCATCCAGCTGAGCGGATACTCCTGCTGGCAGAGGGGGCTGACGCAGTGCGACGTGTGGAAGGTGCCGTGGGCCTCCACCAGGTCCTCGGGCTCCAGGCCTGCCACGCGCTCCAGGGTGTCTATGT